CTGTGATTTTTACAGGGGTTCGTTTCCTGCCTGAGCCAAAGATACTAAGGAATAAATCTCAGATGGGCCCCTTACAAGAGAAATCTCCAGGTGAGCAGTGCAATTTAGACTATTTGCCAGAGCATTTGGGTGCAGAAACTATCTAGAGGAGCTATTGACTTCTGTTAGTAGAGTGAAACTAAGCCTAATCTACAGTCTAAAGCAAGAATCTAGAAATTGAGATGAAGGATTGTGGTTTTCTTGGGCAGTACTAAATGTCTGATGAGGACAATTCGCTTCAATTACGTTTGAGTTCTCCGTGTTGTAGTTCTCATAGTTATCAATAGCTTTGAGAGTCTTTGTTAAAAGAACTAGCATGAAAGGAGAAGAAATTTATTTTAATTTAGTAGCATAAACATAATGCTGTTTTTCCCCTTATTATTTTTCAGTATCTGTTGTCACATTACAAAAAGAAAGTTATGTCCTTCTGCAGTGTTAATTACAACATAACATTATCTAGCATTGTATTAATGACCCACATAGCCCTTCTCCTTGCACAAAAAAAAAAAATCAGATCCTCAAGATGAAGCCTGTATTTGGTATACTGAACATCTGGAGGAGATCAATGTGAATTTTCTCTTTTTTTGTTACCCAGACTCTTAAGAACATGTTGTGTCTTCATCTCATTCATAGACTTAAGTCATGAGTCTCATGCTTTCACAGGTTAAGTGGCAGAAAGGTCAGGTATACTTACATACTTCTCTGTCTTTCTCTCACCTATGTTACTGTAAAATAATTTTTAAAGCACATTTATCCCATGTATTTTCTAATATGTCTGTCATCTGGTGTAATATTTGGAACTTACACAAGAATGCAGTAGTGTAGCTGGGCACATGTCCTTTTAGGAAAGGTTGTGGGGGTTTTTTGGGTTTTTTTGTTTGTTTGTTTTTTAATCCATCACTGTAGTGATTACAGATAGAGAATAGCTTCTATAAAATTAATATCCACCATTAGCAAAAAGTGTGTTAGAGAGTTGCAAATAGAGGACCTCATTAAATAGCATTCAGCTAGGTGGTTGACACTGTTGTAAACATAAGTTAATTTCAATAAATCTCTGGAAAAACAGCAAGATGTTCAGCAGACTTAATTGTGAATTTTGTTGCGATAAGCTTTCTTGAATTTCCTTTTTGACATATCCATCTTTATGTGAATAGGCTTCCTTTCTGTAAGCCTATTTCTGATAGAAGTGGTCATTCATGATGTGTCATTAAAAACTAATCTTTCTTCTCAGCATCTGAGACAGTATGCAATGAACCTGAAGAGACATCTGAGAAAGTTAAGAATATAAACTCAAGCTCAAGCAAGGTCAGTTACAATTCCTTGAAACTCTTAAGCTGCAGGAGTCATGATATCACTTAGTAGATTCCTTATCAGTGAAGGAGACTAACAGTTTGATTGTGCGTGACCTGGTAATAGTAGTGCTTTTCTGCTCTACAAGACCCCTATGCAAAACCACATGCCACCATGAATCACAGCTTTTTGAGCCTCCAATGAGAAGGTGAAGTGCAGCATTTCAAACATGATAGAGGTGCCCATACAAGCCATAGTAAAACACTAGAGGCTCTCAGTTCAGTCACAAACTTATTTTTCCAACTTTTCACTTGGCAGTGCTGGTGTTAAGCTTCTGCTAATCACTTGTTTCCCTGTATCAAATGTTTTGTAGAACTTAGGTGCTTTCTGGGCTTTAGCAATGGTACTGCAAAATTTTCTCTGAGGAGTAAATGTTTCTTTGGGGAATATGCATTGGCTGACGCAGAGACTGAACTGATGAGGAACTAAAGTTACAGCTCATCTGTGTTGCCATTATTAAACTTCACCCTTCTGGAAGATGAGGAAAGAGACAATTATATGAAATTACTGTCTTTGGAAAACCCAGTTATTATTAGATTTCATGGATGTGCCAGATAATGTTCCTCCTGTACATAAGATTTGCATGTCTTCCACATTTGGAAGCGGGGGACAGGCAATTACTGTTTTTCTGGAGGTGGGAGGAAACTTCTCTGACAGCATGCTCTTAATCTAATTTGATTATTGTGAGATACTTCCCTTGGGAGTACTTCACTCCCTTGTGTTGGCTGCCATCAAAGAAGGTTACTACGCTAAGTGGGCCATAAGTTCTCTGACCGTTGCAACAATTTCTTTGCGGTGACCATCTAATTTTAGGACTTAAAATTGGTGGTATGCTCTGCATATGCATTGCACCACTCATTTAAAGAAACTTAACTCCCTGGCAGCTGTATGTGCTAACTGCTTCCTTGTTAGTCCTGGCAAAGGACCCAAGAAGGGGGGTAGGTACAGCCTTTAGAATGAATGGTCCCTTATTGCTGGCCTAAAGCATGTCGATAAAGGAAGCAGCAGTAAATTTATATTGCTTCAAGCCAGGATTTATCGTTCCTATGAATGTAAGAGACAAGGCAGCTTCTCGCGCTGAAGGCAGTCAAGTCAGCACCTTTCATTGGCACAGAGCTTTCTCTAAGAGTTCTAACGCTGAGCATTTTCCAAATACCAGCTGGCTTAGCTGTATTGTCTCCCATTACAAATCACTGTTTCCCATATTCTAGCTCTGCTTTTGGTCTCAGACCTAGCTTGAAAATACCAATCAGAAGTCAGCATGTTTTTTTTTTTTTTGGGGGGGGGGTTATTTCTTTTTTTGATATTTGAGAAATAACTTCAAATCATATAAAACTGGAAAAAAAACATTGTTATTTTAAGTGACTGTTCACAAACCATATTTTAAAACTGTTGAACTTCACAGTACAACATTTTCCAGAACACTAGTCTTCCAGAAGAACTCTTTTAGAGGATAATTTGGGAAAGGACAGATTTTGAGCAAATGAAAAATTTTTTTAGCTGCCTACTTATGACTGTGTCATGCTGTCTAGGGTAATGGAA